AGGCGGCCAGGCGGCCAGGCTGCGTGCAGGCGGTGCAGGCCCAACAGACGCCCCCCGGGCCCCGGCCAGCACGGGGTGATTTGGGCGGGCACTGGAGCAAGGGAAAGGATTACTGGATTCATCCCCGTCCCATCACTTCGGGAAGGATATTTCCTAACCGCCGGGAGATAGCCGCTGCACGCGCGACCTTCACACACAGAAACACTCTCCCCCCCCCCACTCTCTCTCTCTCTCTCTCTCTCTCTCTCTCTCTCTCTCTCTCTCTCTCTCTCTCTCTCTCTCTCTCTCTCTCAAATGAACAAAATAATACAGCGAAGAAAAATGTTTGGCACCATTACCGCCAACAAGCTAGCGTGGCGCGTCCTATGCCGCGGCCTGGCTCGGGGATTACCATAAAGGCTTAGTGCCCTGAGTGTAAGGACTGCAAGGGCTTCCTCGGGTGTAGCTTTCTGCCTCCCGCTTGGCTCTGCGACTGCTACTGTGCGAATCTCCAAGGACCAGCTCCCCAGGGGCCCCTCTGCGCCGCGCCCTTCACTTGAGAGCCCGCGAGCGCGCGCGCGCACACACACACACAAGCATACGAGTACGCGTGCACACACACGCACGCGCGCACACACACAAGCGTCTGCTCACTCACATTCACATGCTCACATTCACTCGCTTGAAACTTTGCGAAGAATTTGGCTGCATTGAAGTCGCGATGAGTTTTGTAGCGCGAAAAAATTTGATTAACATCTCGTATTGTTCGCAATAAAAGGGAACATTCTGCGCTAACCTTACCAAACCAAATCGGTTCGCATTACATACTTGATAACTCTTTGCTACTTACAATGCAAACGAATCTCTGGCAGTTTATGGAAGCTTACTTTGGAACGATATTGAAAACACCAATATTTTAAAAGATTGTTCTACGGAGAAATGAACCCGTTAAGGACAAACAAAGGTTGCCCCCCCCCCACACACACAACACAGACACAGACACACACAGCTTGTCAAGGCTCTGCACGTATGTGGTGTGCTCCATCCCGGCAGCGTTGGTAATGTGCCGAACTTTTGGAGGACGGCATGACCGTCATTTGAGCCAATAACAAACCTACTGGAGCACGAAAACACTCCCCACCCTCTCCCCCGCCGTGACACCGTGTGGATCAACTCGCCGCACATCCCATCAGAGTAATAGGTCTGGCCGCCCGTCGAGAGGCCCAGCCTCCCCGTACTCCCCCCCCCCTCCCCTCTTCACCTCGTCCCCCCTCTTCCCCCTCTTGACGCAATTGCTGCACCTTAAATAAGCTCTTCAACTCTGGCTCGACTCAGCACTGCTCGTACTTCTTTCAAGTCCTAGACGCCGCGCCCAGGATGGGGAATGAATCCATGTAGCCACCCCGCCCCGCCCAACCCCGCCGCGCCCCGCCAGGCCAGGCCACGCCACACCATTCCACGCCCCACCGCGCAACGGCGACCTTGAGCTCATCTCCTGCTGCTGCCACGGCCCAATCTGCGCCGGCAAAATTAAATAAATGATATAAAAAAGATCGGAGGGGAAAAGCACGCTGCAGTGAGGACGGCCGGACGACGCCATCGCAGAGTGGCCGGGGCCGCCGGGGCGGCAACACGATTTGGCTATTTTTAGACCGTCTTTTCCCCCTTTCCACTTTTTTTTTGATCGACCCACTGAGACACGACCCGACAATCTTCCTCCATCAATATGAATCGACTAAATTATTCTATTCCTTCTGTAATCCGCATTTCACTATCTCTTGACCCGTGTCTATCTCACAAAGAGGCTGAGCGAACGGCCAGACGATGCAGCTTCTGCAAATACGGCAAACGCAGCAGTCACCTCCTACGGCTGAGGCTCACAGGCAGTTCCGAGAGGTAGCGCTCCTGCTTCCAGGGGCTTCCCAAGCTGAGCTAGCCGAGCCAACTGGTCCTCCCCCCCCCCCCCCCCCCCCCCTTGGGGCTACCCGCCGCTACCCGCTCACTCAGGACTACCCGTGTCTACCCGGGATGCCTTTTCAGTAAATGCCTCGGTCTTGAACGGCGCTCCGAGAAAACCATCTTGCCGCGGATTAGTCCCCGCTCTGCTTTAGACTGACAATCCTCTTATTCTGTTAAAAAGGAGACACGCGCTCGGGGAGGCGCAAGCAAGGCATCGCAGCAGGCGGTGAAAAGAAAAGTTGGAAAAGTCGATTTTTCCCCCTTTCAAAAAAGATGTTTCTAACTGCCACCGCATTCACATTTTTGCCTTTCAATCCCTCCGAATTGGTCACAAAGGGCTGCCCGAGGGACTAATTCCAATCCCAGTGAGTGGCAAAAGTACACAGCGTCCCTCAACAGGCAGACTGACAGAGAGACACACAGACAGACAGACAGACAGACAGACAGACAGACAGACAGACAGACAGACAGACAAGACGGACAGGGTGTCGCCGGGGAAGACGGGTAACCGTTACCTTAAATTTACTGAGCGCATCTCGACGGAAAGTTCCAGGTCCACGTGGTGGGGCTGGGTGTTTGGGGGCTTGAGGGAAGGGGGGAGGGGGGAGGGGGAGGAGATGAGCATCTGTCTCCGGGCAGCCTTCTGGCAGCGTCGCGTTCACCGCGTCGGAGTGGAAGGACAAGGCGCGGTGGTCAGCGTTTCGAACGAGGCGCTTTTGAGGCATGGCCTCCACCACGGAGGCCTGAGCGCGGATGCCGCCTAACATGTTTGAGGGCAAAGAGGTATATACGGTGGACGCGCCACCCGCGCCCTGCCCCCGGGTTATTCTCGTCGGTTAGGGACAAAAGAACCCGAGCCCACTCGGCCGGGTTTTTAGGCCACGGCCTCCAAACTGTTCCATTTACAGGGTTGTGTTTAGCGCGCCAACTGAACCATGCAACCTAAACTGCAATCAACTCGCTAAACGTCTTTTAATTGAACTTCTTTTAATTGAGCATGCTGCGACCGTAATACTTTGGCCGGGTGGAGTCGTCCTCTTTTGACCAACGTCATCGCTTCGGCCGCGCCGCCGCTCTCCTTTGTCCCTAAGCTGCAACTGCTGGTCGGCAACCGAGGTGGTGGTTAGGGCCAGGCGGGACTGCCAGGCTGAGGCGAAGGATTGGATTTCAATTCACGCCGCGCAAGTATTGGCACTTTACAAAGCAACGCGCCGCCCCGCGCCGCGCCGCCGCAGCTCGTCGACAGCACCACACCCCACCCCGTCTTTGTCCGCGCTGAAGAAGCGTTTGTATTTTGGCCTCGGGGACAGCTGACAACAACTAAAGCACGGAGCGGCGCGGCGGCGCGGCGGGGGTGGCTAACTTATTGGGCAAACTTGGAAGCAGGCACCGGCGGGAGTCGAACCCCTGCCGCACGGAGCCGCACGGACCCCGTGGAGGCCTCGCGCTGAGCATACCAAGCAGGCGAAGCAGGCGAAGAAGGCCTTCGGAATGCCTTTCTTTTTGGCCGAGCGGGTGGAACGTCGCGACGAGATGATAGCACCCTGTTATCTCGACCGTTTTCCTGACGTACACGACACGACCACGGCGGCGGTGACCGCGACCATACGGCGACCACGACCAGGGTGACCACGACAACTGCGACGACCCACATTGCTCCGCCGAGAGGGCTGCGGAGGTGGCAAGATTTTGAGGTGTGGCTGCACTGTGTGCCATTCCGCGCCACAGCCCCATGAGAGACTTTAATAAATTGGCATTTTCTCCCCCTCCCCTCCACTTCCACTTGATCCCTGGCGAGACGCTAATGAGTTTTGCGTTCGGCCGCCAGATCGCGCTCGGCAGCCGAAAGCCTCGTGTGTTGTGGTGGCCGCCACGATAATGGAAAAGTCAGTGGGGCCGTCAGCCACCACCCAGCCGACAGGCTGATTCTGAGAAGCGCTCTCGTCGCCTCTCTCTCTCTCTCTCTCTCTCTCTCTCTCTCTCTCTCTCTCTCTCTCTCTCTCTCTCTCACTCACTCTCTCGTGCTTTTTCGTGGACGAAGCTGAAAGCCCCACAACAACTGACGGGTCGGATAACTAGAACAGGTTCTGTCTGTTTGTCTGCGTAAAAGCCGGCGTACCTTTGTCGCTCCGGCAATCAGGGATAACGTCAGGGCGGTACTCCTCGGCGTGCCGTGGGGCCGTGGGCGCGCGCGGGTTCTGCGCCATGAGTAGCAGGGCGGTGCGGCCGAAGGGGACTGGTGCGGCGGGCTGCGACAAGCTTTGCCGCGCCGCGTCGCGCCGCGCAGGCACGCAACCCAACGTGCACGGCCACCTGCCGGGTGATCGCATCGCCGGTAAAACGCTGTCATTTTCTCCGTTTGAAGGCGGCCCCGGCTCAGGCAGCGTGACCGACGCATATTGATTTCCAAACGCATGGGGACCTACAATTTAAAACTTAAAAAGAAGAATACTAAACATAGGAAAATTGTTTTCTTTCCGGAGGCTTCGTTGTTCCGAAGGCCTTCGCGAGGAATGTTCGTTACAGAGAGGAAACATGACACAGTACTCAACAGATTCATTTCGGTCACTGCCATTTAATCAAACGTGAAAGACAAAATTAAAAATGCAACAAAAATGTTTTTTGGGATGTGCGGGTATCGCATATTTTGAGTGAAAAGGTGTGTGTGCGTGTTTGTATGTGTGTGTGACTGCGTGCTTCCCTGCATGCATGCGTGCGTGCGTGCGTGTGTGTCTGCGTGTGTGCGTGCGTGCGCTCGTGTGTGCGCCTGCGTGCGAGCCTCTGTGCCTGCGTGTGTGCCTCTGTGCCTGCGTGTGTGCCTCTGTGCCCGTGTGTGTGCCATTGTGCGTGCGTGCGTGGGCGTGTGTGCCCACGGTCAAGGCTGCAGTGCAGCGGCAAACATGACCGCGTGCCGCCCCGTGCCGCCCCGTGCCGCCCCGTGCGCGTTGTCATGGCGACGGAGCGACACGGCACGGCGCGTTGCGACAGCGCGCGGCGACTGCTGTACATGAGCGGTAACTAATGTCCCATCCGTCCCTCTGATTGTTTTGATTCTGTTGCAGCCTGGGTACTGGGCTGGTGGATGTGCAAGTGCGTGTCCTACGTGCAGGGCGTGTCCGTGGTGGCGTCCGTGTACAGCCTCATCGCTGTCTCCCTGGACAGGTAAGTGTGCTGGCGGAGCCCAGCCTGAAAGAAAGCTGCTTACACTCGCCCAGCGCAGCGCGCAGCCCTCGGGTCCGATTTTACGAGACAGGCAAAACAAAGCCGGATGGAAGATGATATTCTGGAAATATTCCAGCGGGTTCGGGGAAAATCCGTTCGCGCTCTAGAGATGCTGTCTTGCTTATTTTGGCAGATTCGTGACAGTGTATATACCGTACCTAACTATTCTTTCTGCGCTCTGCCGAGAACCTCCTCAGTTTTGTAAGCACCGAAGCCCGGAACGGTATTATCCCGTTCGCTCCAATGTAAATTTGACGGAATGGGTTATCATAGCTAGGGACGAGAACACCGTTCTCTCTACCTATCGAAGGGTACGTGTAAAAACTGAAAACTCGTTGCGTCCACACTGATGGAACAGCGACGGTTCTCCCTCGGGTTTGTTCTGGATTCACCCGTCCGGCCTCGTGTTGCGCGAACCGGTGCGAAACACCCTCGGATAGAGGAAACGCTATATTATAGCAAGCCCGGTAACCGTACACTTATGCGCAGAGCGGGCGTGTTTTTTTTACGCCGCGTGCATAGGCAACCCATCGCGCTTCCCGGTCGTGTACCTGTCCCCCCCTCATCGCGCCGCGCCCCTCCCGCATCCTCCTGTCCCTTCCTCGTCGCACCCCGCACCCTGTTCGCTCCATCCCGCACCCGCGCGGCCCACGCCAAGTCCACCACCTCGGCGACGACGTGGTGATCGGGGCTCAGCGATGTGTGAATATTTTTGAGCCGCAATATTGGGCGCCTCGAGTAGTCGAGAGTGACTTTCCGCCACTCACGCGGCCAGCCCTGGCAGCCCTGGCAGCCCTGGCAGCCCTGGCAGCCCTGGCAGCCCTCCCATCGGCAAATGGCCCAGGCGTGACTGGAGCCGCCGCGACGCCGCCAGGCCAGGCCGCCGGGCCGCCGAGCTGAAGGCTATCGACAGACAACGCCTTCGTGCCGGGACGTGACGCGGTGCGCCGTGACGTGGTGCTTCGTGGCGGGGCGGTCTGCGACGGAATGCACCGTGGACGGGGTTTGGCCTGACGGGGTTCGGCCTGACGGCGTTCGGCCTGACGGCGTTCGGCCCGACGAGGTTGGCTTGACGCGGTTCAACCTGACGGAGTTCGGCCTGAGGGGTTTGGCCTGACGGTGTTCGGCCTGAACGGGTTCGGCTTGACGAGGTTCGGCCTGACGGGGTTCAGCCTGACGGTGTTCGGCCTGACGGGGTTCAACCTGGAGTTGTTCAGCCTGAGGTTCGGCCTGAAGGGGTTCGGCTTGACGGGGTTCAGCTTGACGAGGTTCGGCCTGACGGGGTTCGGCCTGACGGGGTTTGGCCTGACCTGACGGGGTTCAGTCGGACGACGGCGGCGCACGGTGGGGAAAGACATCTTCCCGCCGCACACTGCAGGAGACGGGCGGATAGAGGCCAACGAAGCCAAACAAAGTGATCGCGGTAGGGTGCCAGGGCGGCAGGTGATGGAGACGAGACGGCCGGTGGCGGCGAGGCACAGGGCGGCAGCAGGGCGGCAGCAGGGCGGCAGCAGGGCGGCACACACTCGATGTTTCAATTAAGTGCCCATTAGCCTTGCAAATGGCCTGGGGTTGTTGGTGTCGCGGCACCGCACGGCACAAAGGGACTCACAACACGGCCCTCAATGCAAATGTACCCCGCCCCGTCCCACCGCGCCCCGCCGCGCCCCGCCGCGTCCCACCGCCGCGTCTCGGGAGCTCTCATAAATTGGGCCGGCCAAGTCGCGCTTCGGAAGATGCACCTTTCCGGGAACTCTCCAGGGCCGTGGGCAGGCAGGCTGCCTGCAGGCTGATGCTGGAGGAAGCGGCTTTGCACCCCCTCCCCCTCATTCCCAACCCACCATGTCTTAGCGCCGAACAATAAACTGGACAGGGATGCACGTGCCACGTGTAGTCACCTCAATTAGGAGTATTTGCGACTGCCGTCTCCCGCTCCCAGCTCCTGAGCACTCCCAACCTATACCCGGTGATTTTGTTTGCTGGGTTGTTGTTGTGTTCTTTTGTGTTATTATTGGTGTAGTTGTAGTAGTAGTAGTAGTTGTTGTTGCATAATTATAACTTATGAGCATGTGAAATCGAATTGAGAGTAGAAAAGCCCAGGAAATTCGCGAAATTTACACCGAAATTAATACTTTTTACCGTTTGGGACGACACCAAACAGCACTTTGTTTTCACAGACCTCAGGTGGCTCCGAGAGAGGGGGAGGGGGGATAGGGGAAGAGCCCAAGGTTAGGGAAGCCCTGCCTTGCAGGCCAAGCTGATATTTCTACCCAATTTCATTAACTTTCGGTTTGGTTGTGTTTCGTAAGTCTATCCCGGAAGTGTTCTTGTTTGCTCCATAGCGCCATCGAAGCTGTGACACAGGCTCGTCCTTCAGGATAGGGAAGGCGGAAAGAATGCAGCATTATTTTATCGGAAAATTTCCATGGTTTATTTCTTATTGGTTTCTGTCACTACCAGGTACTGAGCGAAGGATTGGGGCAAGGGAAATAAATATTGGAGGATGAGGGGATGGGGATAGGACTGGGGCTAGGCCTTAATGCACCAGCACGGGGGCGGCGTGCACGGAGTGGACGACGGGGGCGGCGTGCACGGAGTGGACGACGGGGGCGGCGTGGACGACGGGGACGGTCCTGACGACGGGGACGGAGTGGACGACGGGGGCGGCGTGGACGACGGGGACGGCAGCCTTGTAGACCACGGGGCTAGAGTGAGACTGCACAATGCTGGAGTGGGAGACGGACACGGGGGCGGCGTGCACGACGGGGACGACGGGGGCGGCGATGACTCCACGCTTCTTCAGGTGGTGGACGGCGAGGGGAGCGGCGTGGACGACGGGGGCGGCGTGGACAACGGGGACGGTCCTGACGACGGGGACGGAGTGGACGACGGGGGCGGCGTGGACGACGGGGACGGCAGCCTTGTAGACCACGGGGCTAGAGTGAGACTGCACAATGCTGGAGTGGGAGACGGACACGGGGGCGGCGTGCACGACGGGGACGACGGGGGCGGCGATGACTCCACGCTTCTTCAGGTGGTGGACGGCGAGGGGAGCGGCGTGGACGACGGGGGCGGCGTGCACAACGGGGACGGTCCTGACGACGGGGACGGAGTGGACGACGGGGGCGGCGTGCACGACGGGGACGGCGGCCTTGTAGACGACGGGGCTAGAGTGCGACTGCACAATGCTGGAGTGGGACACCGACACGGGGGCGGCGTGCACCACAGGGGCGCCCAGCAGAACTCCGGGCTTGGCCGCGGCCACAGCCACCAGGGCGAAGAAAGCGACCTGTGGACAGGCAGGCATGGGTTTTACACTTGGCACAATTTAGAGAAAACATAGGTTGGTCGATGCCATCCGGAGTAAACTGCAAGTACTCTGGACTTAAAATGACTTATTAAGGGCTGACACTCTTCTCTAGCAGGACAGTCAATCCATGTACTGATTGTTCGACTCGCTAAAAGGCCCAGATGCTACATCTGATACCGGTCACAAAACACTGTTCACACTTGTTCTTATCCACTGCGGAAACTTGGCTGGAGATGTGGTGCACACTGGTCACTTCACTGTGGCACTTAACGACCGCGACTCGGCACTCACCAGCTTGAACATGGTGGTTCGGTTTAGCTTCTGCTGAGCTGAACTCGAGAGGAGAGGAGAGCAAGTTGTGATGCTGTGTCTTGGCAGACGCCGGCTTTTATACCGAGAGCAAGTCAGGCCGAGGCGGCGAGGCGGCTAGCAGAGGCCGAGGACCTCTTGGCGACCTTCGGGTCCGCACCGTCGCGCCGTGGGGGGGACGCATCCAGCCGCGCGGCCAGCGCAGCGCAGCACCAGGGCATGGCGGTGCAGGGACGCCAGGAGTCTGCGGCGTGGCGGAGCGTGGCTGTTTTCACGCGCCGGACCCCCAATATCCCATGACATGCACACACTTAACGTTCGGTACAAACCATTTCCAAACGAGAAGCTGGACTTAGTTTCCCCAGTTTTGTTAAAGAAAAGCGTGCTGAATTCGTACGAAAAGTTCATAAAAAGTATTGTAACGTCAACAAAATTTGTGCGAAAAACATTCGGGGTGCTTTTCCTACTGTTTTTCAATCATGAGGAGCTGCTTATTTATTTCATCAACGCTCTATAATTTTGGTAGCTTCTTTCCGGTCCACAAGGTGTTGTTTCGGGGACTTTGCCCGTCCCGAAACTCGGAGCGTGGCCGGGAAAAAACCCGCACTGCACAGGGTTTGTTCTGGAAGGAACGCAAGGATGGGGCGGGAAGGCAAACACTTGAGGTGATCTGGTGCAGCAAGGATGCTGCCTTTGCCGCTGTGTGTGTGTGTGTGTGCGCGCGCGCGCGTACGAGTGTTTGCGCCTATGTGTGTGCGTGTGTATGTGTTCTCCTGCGAGCGCACGGTGCGTTCATGTCTGCGCGCGCGTGTGTGTGCGTGTGTGTGTGTGCGTGTGTGTGTGTGTGTGTGCGTGTGTGTGTGTGTGCGCGCGCGCGCGCGCGATGGCCAAGAACTTGGGCACCATGGCCGCTGAGGCAGGCAGCTGCGTGACGTAGTGACGTACCCGCGATCCGGCGTGCCGCCCTAGAAAAGCAGGTTGTTGTCCAGCGTCCAACAGGCGCCTTACGAAATACGAATCTTAGATTGCGAGCGCGACGAGAGAAGAGCGACGCACGCGCGTGGCTTCCCTGTTCGCTCCCAAGGACGCGTCGCGCGCTTCAAACTGTTGTTCTTTTTGGCGGGAGGGAGATTAATCTCCGCGCTGCTGCAGCGTGCGACCGCCTCGGCCACCGCCGCCTCGATTCCGGGCGAGTCTCTCTCTCTCTCTCTCTCTCTCTCTCTCTCTCTCTCTCTCTCTCTCTCTCTCTCTCTCTCTCTCTCTCTCTCCCTCTCTCTCTCTCCTCCTCTCTCTCTCTCTCTCCTCTCTCTCTCTCTCCCTCCTCTCTCTCTCTCTCTCTCTGGTACTCTCGGGTCGCTGCATACGTCTGTGAGGGAGACAAGACCGAGCCCCCGCTCGCAAAGAGCCGCCGCCAGGGCCTGAGACTGAGCCGCGCAGTCCGCAGTCTGTCGGCGTCGGGTCTTCGCGGCGGGTCGGGTTGTGTCCGGCAGCCGAGTGCTGGTGGAGCAGTGAGCCAGCGAGCCTGTAGGGCGCCACTACGGCCCCCTCCAGCACTCCAGTCTCTCCAGCCGTCAAAAATAAATTTCAAAAGTCCGAAAAGTGCGTTTAGAAGCTCCGTCAGGAATTTCCGGATCTTCGCTTTTCAAAAAGTTTTGCTTGTTTACCTGAATCACTTGCAAAACAGAGGAGTTCAAGTGTTAATACTTTCGTTTTTTTTTTTTTTTTTTTTTTTTTTTTTTAAGTATCGTGTTTACCTCCCAACAAGTTCTCCGGGAATTTTCCAGATTTTTTCTCAATAACGAACAAAGGGCAGGCAGACGCGCTCTACCGTCATATTGCCCTGCCGTTCGACGAAATTGCTTTGCTGTTTACTTGTTCAATGTAACTCGATTAAGGCTGCGACCAATTTGCCGGCTCACCGTCGCTCTGTCTTTGTCACACTCTTGCAAGGCGTCTCGTAGGGGTGCGGGAGAGAGAGAGAGAGAGAGAGAGAGAGAGAGAGAGAGAGAGAGAGAGAGAGAGAGAGAGAGAGAGAGAGAGAGAGAGAGAGAGAGAGAGAGCGGCGGAACGATGCCTCGGAAGCAGGCGGCAGCGAGTGTCGTCTTGTTTGTCGCGCTCCATTGCTGCGAGTGCACGGCCACGTCCTCGGAAAATCCAATCATCTTGTCTTTTCAATACCAACTTTCCCGCCGGCGCACATTATTATGCTCTCCAGCTTTGGCGCTTTCCCGCGTGCGCCGCCTGTCCACTTATTTTCGACCCCGCGTCGAGTTTAGTTGGCGAACTCCGTTTTTGCCGCGCCACTCGTCGCGGCCCCACCTTGGTACTCCGTCTCTCTCGCACCCCTGCACGGGACGCTTTGTGAGAGCGAGAGAGTCGGCGCGACGGAGCGCCGTTCCGGATCCAGACGGGCACGGCGGCACACGGGGCACGGCGGCGCGGCCAGACAGGAGCGGCCGGCGCGGTCACTGGGGCACCAGCAGAGGCACCAGCAGAGGCACCAGCCCCACCAGACGCGCCAGCCGAGCCAGCCGAGCCAGACGCCAGCTGATGAAGCTCACGCTAGCAGCGCGGCTCAACTCCGCTCCGCTCGCATGTCGCGTTTTGGCCAGCAGCCGCAGCGCCCACAGCAAAACGCGACAGCCTTCAACCGGTGTGGTGACAGACCGTTTCCCGCTTCATTGGGAGCCATTCGGAAACCATTGGGGACCATTGGGACGACCCGCGAGAGAGGAGAGGTCCCGGCAGCCCTGCCTGGCGGAACCGATTCATTATCAGGCGCTTCCTTCTGTCACGCGCAGAGCGGCACGGAGCGCAGACCAGTCCGATTCCGAATTCTTGACTCTCTGCCTCTCTCGCGCTCCCCCGGGGCGCCCAGTGAGCATGACAGAGGCAGAGAGTTCCTCACTCCTCAGGGTGCTGCGACGCAGCCCGCAGCAAACGAGATAGCGTTCGCGGTGAAGTTTGCTGTAAAATTACGGACGGAAGTACTAAGAGGCCGCCGCGTCCAGCTTGTGCTTGTTCTTGTGCTGCTTGTGCTGCTTGTGCTGCTTGTGCTTGTGCGCCAAAGGAACGGGCGGCCGCTCGGCCGCTTCCGGCGGTCCGGCAGTCTCGGGCAGGCGCCGCCAGGGGGCAGCAGCTGCGATCGGAATCACTTTCTTTCTTATTACCATGGAGATGTTTGCCCTGGCTGCAGCAAGCCGAGTCTCTGCGGTGGCGGCAGGGCCGCCAAGGTGAACCAGTGCGCAGCTTGGAGGGCATCATTCACAGGCCCGACCTAAAGACAAGCCTTCGGGCCCAACCCACCCACCCGACCAATGGGGAGTCTCCATCCAGTGACATCCTTCCTTGTCTTGTTTTTTCCCCGCCGATTCCTTGTTTCGAAACCACGCGGAGCGATTCCGAACAGTGCGCTCTGTCTCTCTCGCACTCGTGCGGGACGCTCAGCAGGGGTGCGAGAAGGACAGATCGAAGCACTGTTCCGAACGAGCAGCGCGACGCGTTGGTGCCCCGACTCTTCTCGCCACTTCGCCAGGCGCACTTCATTCGCTGAGCACGTTAAGCCCCGATTTGACAGAGTGGCTTGACAGCGTCGAGACGGCGCGGCGGGGTGGGGTGGGGCGGGGGATTCACCCTCCCGACAAGCAGCTGACCTTCTTGCTCTGCCATTGTGAGTTGCACCGGTCGCCATGGCAACCGGAGCCACACTCTGTCTCCCGACCGAATTTTCCCGCATGCATGATGGGAGCGCAGAATGTTTTTCTCCAGAGCACGCAGGTTTTTCTTCGTATCTCATAACGAAACTCCAAATGGGATTCGCACCGTGGAGAGATGTTGTTTCGCATCATGCACGCCACCGAATCGACTGTTGCTCAGACCTCATTGCTCGCGCCTCTCGCTGCACGGGCGTTGTCGGACCGATGCGTCGCATCTCGCCCCCGCTCTCGGGACAGAGTTGCTTTTTCGCCAACTTTGTTCTGACGACCTCCGGGCACTGCGCTTCGCCTCGCCACGGGGCGACGCGGGGCGACGCGGGGCGACGCGGGGCGACGCAGGCGTATTGGGGATGAGTTTCCGCACGGCGCTCCATTTTTCCATCCGCCGTACTCGCGAGGTCGGCCGTGCTGCACAGCCTAATTAAAAGTTTGCGCATGCGAGCGACGGCGCGGGATTACCGTTGTTGTTTGGTTTAGTAATCCGCGTGCTTCTTTCATGTCCCGATACTGGCAGGATCGACGCGCCCCGCCCCGCCCCAGCCGTCTGCAAGGTGGCGGCCGCGAGCCGACCCGCTTCATTTGCCTCTCCTTTATCGCCTGACCGAACTGCATTGCCGTCGTAAAATTGCCTCTCTTTCTGAGTCTTTTCTCCTTGTTTTGTTGTGTTTGGTTTTGTTTTGGTTTTCAACCGACGATCTTACCTTTCTCGCCAAATTACCGTATGGTTGCTTTACGGCGGCCCTCGCAATGCCGTTAGTGCGGTAGGTAACGCCTCCTCTCTCTCTCTCTCTCTTCTCTCTCTCTCTCTCTCTCTCTCTCTCTCTCTCTCTCTCTCTTCTCTCTCTCTTTCTCCCTCCCTCCCTCTCCCTCTCTGTCTCTCTCTCTCACTCTCACCACACACATTTGAACAGTCCATAAGGAGCGGCAAGGGCATACGCGTTACGTAACATGTGGATGAATGAACCCCTTGGCCTGACGGTGGACACGCATCGAGCGGCGCGGCGCCGATTTCGCCCTGTCGGGCTTGCTGGGCTTGCTGGGCTTGCTGGGCTTGCTGGGCTTGCTGGGCTTGCTGGGCTTGCTGGGCTTGCTGGGCTTGCTGGGCTTGCTGGGCTTGCGTGCCTGACTGCTTGTCGGAACGCCTCCCTGTTCCGGCAGCCGCCAACGACGCTGCAGTGCGTGCATATTGCAAGACAAATCACCAGACTTTCAGTTCTGCGAGTCATTTCTATTTCAGCTCGAAGATTAAAGATGAAGTAAGATCAATAACTTCCGCAGTTCTCGGTTGAACAAGATCACACTGGGAATCCGGGAATGTGACGTCACGTTCGTTTGAACGTGAATCGTCG